ATATATATATATATATATATATATATATATATATATATATATATATTCTTCTATGTTTACAAATCTGACCTTGCAAGTTAAATGCCAGATATAAATCTGCATCTACTGTGAGAGTGGTTGTTTTGAGTAAACAACATCAGAGAATGAGAGAATTTCTCCAACAAGCAAGTACTCTGATTCTTTTATCTTTAACAACTTAGTTTCAACTATACAAAATGGTATTTAGAATCTACAAGTACCAAATGAATTGCTCAAAGTAACAAAAGGGTAGCTAATAACTAAAAGCATCAATAAGGTAGCTTGAAGCTAAACTTGACAACAAGCTATCTTAAAGCTAAAAGAAGCAAAAAGGTAGGTACAAGCTAGTGCTAAAATGAGGAGTAGCTAAAAGTAGCAGAACGTCAACTAAAATCTAAGCGTAACATAAGAAGATAAAAACCGAGCAAGTATGCAGGAACAGAATTTATAGAGCATTGTTTTGATTGAATTAAATAACTAATAATGTGTGTCAATGGGGAAATTATTTTAAAATAAAGTAAAACATTTTGAAATATATAAAAGTAAAAAAAACTTAAAATCATACAGCAGCCATCTCTTGAACAGAGCTGAAGATTTTGATGTATGAATGACTAAACAGCACAAATGATGCAGAAGTAGCAGACAAAACACGTTATCATTGTGTGCACCCCCCCTCCCCCCAGTGTTATGAGAAGTGAATGAGGTGGTGGAGCATCCCTGAAAATGTGCTTCTGTGATTCAGACTATCAGCTCTAACTCATGCTTCTCACGTACCTCTGTATTACGTTTGCAGTGCTCATCCAGCAGCAGCCAAACCCCTCGTCTCTCCTCCTCTCCTCTCTCCGTTCTTCATCCCCTTCCCCTCCTCCTGCATTTAATGGTTCTGTTGCTCACAGTTCCAGCCCGCCTGCACACGCTGCCCCTCGTTTCTCTTCCCATCCAAGGTCGACTTTGAGCTCTCATTTTTGAGACGGGAATAGCAGGTGCACTGCAGAATTCCATCGCAGCTCTGTGTGTGCGTGTGTGTGTGTAAGGATGTGAGTGTATTTAAATGCATCCTGGTGGAGCTGTGCACAAGTGAAGATTCAGTCTTAAAGGATGTCTGCAGCCTGCAGGCGGACGGGATGCAGATGTTTCTCACCAGCATGGGGGAAAGCTGCTTAAACAATCAGAAGGGAGAAGGAGCTGCTGCTGCTGCTGCACCGGACTCTGACTCGGTCTCCGGTTTTTCTTTGGAACGGATAATTTGGATCTGAGTTGGAAAAGAAGGAGGTCTCTTTGGGAACATCTGCTGGAGACGCAGCCTGTGTTGCCACTGAAAAGACGACATGCTCTGAAAACATCATCTTCTCTCTGTGTCCTCTCTGTCTCTGCTCCTCTTCCTCCTCTGCCTTGCTCCCGGCAGAGCCCCAGCTCCACCATGTCCTTGGCTTTCTGTGGGAGCGAGAACAACTCGTCGGCCTACAACGTGGACAAGGGCGTTCTGAACAACGGCTGCTTCCTGGATGCGCTCAACGTGGTCCCACATGTCTTTCTCCTCTTCATCACCTTTCCCATCCTCTTCATTGGTGAGTCTAACTGGGAGGTGAGATCCTCTGCCTCCTCACACCTCAGCACAAATCACACACTCAGAACACACACACACGATTTGTCAGCACAAATTAGAAGATTGATAGACTCTATCTGCCCTCGCTCTTTTAGTTTACCTTTCAATGCTGAATCTATTGATGCTTTCATAGACTTTAACACACAACATATTTTATTTATAGGCATCATTTAGAAGCGCCGACATATACTGTAGCTGTTGTGTAACAAAACTGCTTGAACAGAGGGCAACAGGAAACCATTTCTTAGTTGTAATGGAAGACGTTTCACCTCCCAGCTAAAAGGCTGAGTCATAATAACTGATAAGAAGTTTGAGGTTGAAGCTGCTACCTGTGCCCCAACACTTCAGAGTGAGGAGAGAGGTGTTTCCGTGACTCACATGCGACTCTCCGTGTGTGAAAATGTTCCTTGCAGCAGTTTATAAGTCTGAAATTCATCACATATTAGAAGTGAACTTTGCTTTTGAGAGACAGCTGAGAGATGAAAGGTCTCACACAACCAGGAGATAAAGTCCTTTTTTTTTTTTTTTTTTTAAATTTAGGCATCTAAGATTACCGTGACCTTGATGACTCAGGATCTACACTGAGATAAAAAGAATTTATTGAGCTGCAGTTTTTGCAAGTCAGTGTGATTCTTGTGCTATTCTGCATTGTGGTGCATGGAAGCAAAATGATTCAAAAGCATCATGTTACTCTGTCTTGACTCACCTTTCTGACTGCTGGCCTCACTATTAGTGTCATCACTAGAGTGTAGGTTTACACACTGTGCTGCCATGAGTTCAAAAGCTGCTGGCTCATCATCTGAATATGTTACTGCTTTGCCTTTGGGAATGGGTTTACCATAGTTTCTGTGCACATTTGTCTCTCTGTTAGCAAAATATCCCACGAACCATTGGATGTATTTTAATGAAACCCTCAGAAAGTATTCATTGAATGCTTGTCAACAACTACCATATTTTCCACCGTACATGTCGCACCGCCCTATATGTTGCATCAGTCCAAATATGTCTAAAAAAGTGGAAAAATCTATAAATACGTTGCTTCGCTGTATACGCCACATCTATTATGCATCACCGCAGACGCATTGCGTTTGTTACGCGTCACCACTGACAACCCGGTGTTGTACCAAAAATCGATTGGCTGCCAAATGGTGGCTGCGGGAGCGTGCATGGGAGGACCTTAACAAGAATTTATCAAGATTAACACTTAAAAACAACGATTTGTTTGCTCAACATTATAGTAAAGGTGTGTTTCAGTTGAACTTTTCCTTAATAAATGCACTTTGACGGTCAAATCAGCTGCATTTCAAAATAGGTAGCTGCCTCGCTGCTCGGGGAGCACGCTCTGAGGGAGGAAATCATCAAGGAGGAATGTTGCGCATTTCTTAGAAAGTTAACGAGATAAGCACCTAAAACAGTTATTTTTGTTTGCTTGACTTTATATCAAAGGTGTGTCTCAGTTGAACTTTTTCTTAATAAATGCACTTCAATGGTCAAATTAGCCGCATTTCACCGGGGCGGCGCAGCGAATTGAAGCTGATTTGACGGTGGCTCCATGCATGATCCGGGAGTTGGACGAAGGTGGCAGTCTATGGCAAGTCGACTGTGTCATTAATAGCCACTTTTACCTATTACATGACACAACGACATGCCATACTACTCAAGCGCCATCTAGCGACTGAAAATGTTAGTGTTCAATATTTTCAATGTCAGAATGAATGAAAACGGTCATATCTCAGCCAAAAATTGGTTTATAAATATGGGGAAAAAATCCGCAAATATGTTGCTTTGGCCTGTAAGTCGCAGGATATGCAAATTATGCAAATTATGCAAAAAATGTGACTTATAGGCCGAAAAATACGATAATCAAGTTTTGGATTTGAGCCATTTCAAGACCGCTAACAGATCTTAGCTTAGACCAAACTGCTATACCTCAGTGAATTTTACAAATATTCAGCTAAAATTTGTTATGGTAGTAGATGACAGTCATTCACAACACATTTTCCAAGCACTAACAGATTAAAAAGAGTCAGAGAGAGTCAGAGTCAGAGTTTCTTTATTGTCATTCTCACCTCATGTGTTACATGTGGTGGAGCGAAATTATGTACACGGGGTCCCAGTTACATCCAACAATAAAATGTATAAGAAAAACAGTAATAACATCTAAGATATGAACTAAGAAAAACATCAACTAAATATACACTAAGCACTCATAACATAAAACATTGAACATCGAACATTGAAAAAAAGATCCTACAAGAGATTGCATAATGTTATTTTCAAGATTCGACCAAAATGGTGACAACTCTGTCATTTGTTAACATTTAATGACTTTGTTTAAAGTTCAGGCATGAAAGGTGGTGGGTGATATGCATTGCTTCAAGGGAATAGTCTTTAAATTACTTTAGGATGTCAGTGTTTTTGGGTAAAATTAAGTAAAGAGTCGGAGCTGTGAATTAAAGAATTTTAACAAGATTTTCTTGGCTTGGTTTGCTTTTTTGTTAAATTGTGCATTTTTTTCATGCAAAAATACATTACTGTGCAAAAATCTTCTCCTTTCAGCCTCCATTACCGTTAATGTTTTTCTACAGTTTTTTGTTGAGACTTATCAGACAACTTGGCAGAAAAAAGTCATTTTTAAATATTATCTTTTGGAACTTTAATGAGTAGTCTGTCACAAAGATACAGTTTGTTCCAGTTTCTTCAGCAGAATTTAGAAAAATGCAAATAAATAAATAATAAAGTTTGATACATAATGGTCTTTTAGCACCAATGAGGGAGTTTTCAAAGAGCTGAAAACTTGACATACATTAGAAGGATGACTCATCTCTCTGGTGCTGTGACAGGTTTTTGCTTGATTCTTTCTTATTTTTTGCAGACATAACATTGAGAGACTGCCTGATTTTTTTCAGGCTGACCCTTTATTGTGCTCTGCTTGTCCACTTTTCTGTTGTTGCATGATATGCTGTCATGGTCAGGTACAAAGATTGGAGTGAAAAAGCAGCCACATCCTGAAGCTGGATCAAAAATAAACACCACTAACTGCGTTCTGCTAACAAGACTGAGGACCACTTTCTGCTATGTGGATTTATAGGAAGTGAGTACTTCCTCCAACAGTAACAAGATTAATACTAAAAAGCTTCCCGTGGACCTTGAATCATTTTCTGTGCACTGAAGGTCACAGAAGCAGCTTCGAATAAGATCACTTTCACTTTAAAGTGCCTGTAACATGCATATCCTACAAATACAGAAAATGGAAGAAAACATCTTAATATTTAAGACATTTGGCATAAGACGCATGATTTTACCTTAAGTGACGACAAAGGGGAAGAGCTCTAAAAAGGGGAACTCCCTGAACTTTGCTCATACAAACTCTGACTCTTCTTCGTCTCGCTCTGATAATGACTCAAAATAAACTATAGAAACTTATACTATACTATACTATACTATACTATACTATACTATACTATACTATACTATACTATACTATACTATACTATACTATACTATACGATACGATACGATACGATACTATACTATACTATACTATACTATACTATACTATACTATACTATACTATACTATACTATACTATACTATACTATACTATACTATACTATCTATAATACTATAGATTCTTCACTGCTGTGGTAGCCATTGCAGCAATGTTCTTCTTTGTCATCACTTCCTGTTACTGAACATACAAATATCTCAACAACTGTTCCTCTCAATGGGATTTCTTTTTTGCAATAATAATAATAATTTTCTTATCTTTCCAATAATGCATTCACATTTATCACAAACAATTGATGTCACAGGCACTTTATACATCAGTAGATTCATCAGGACAATAGCGAGCCAGTTTGATGTCAGTGCCAAAGGTTTTCATTTGAAATAAATTATCTTCATATTTTATGACTGCTTACTTCTTATTAATTATCTGCTTGACGTGTTGTCTCCATATGATGATCCTGCTTATTTTCCATTTTAGAGGATGATTCTCAGCTGCTGCCACCAAAATGAGCTCAATATCTGTAAAATCGGCTGAGTTGTAGCCATTTTTGTGTTAGCTAAGGTCAGTTAGCTGTGGTGGTCATTTTGTCTTCATCTACAAATGATAAAATTCATATAACTAGTGAAAACTAATAAAACCTTAAAGTGTGACAGTGACATTCTTAGGTGTAAATCTTTTATAGGAAACAGTCTATCTGTGAGCTGTGGGGGGTTCTTCCTGTTGAGCTGATGTGCTTTCATTAACTGCTTCAGCCCGACACACCCCAGGATGTGTGAAATCTTTTCTGCTCACCTGACAGAACCTTTCCAGTCAAAGTTCTGTTTAGAGATAGTACGATGCACTCTACTGTGCCCCGGAGCTACAAGATGTGCTGCTCAGCCTGTGTTCATGAATTTACAGGCACATAAACGCTACAAACACAAGAGGATACTGTTCAAATAGAGACTGAATAAACAAAATGGCATGCACCAGCACACCTTGGTAAGACTATTGGATTACCAGCTGGATACGAGGACAGATTTAAATCCTTTCCGTCATAATTTAGTTAAATGAAAGCAACTATGTTATGTAGATCTGTTTGTTTATATTTATGTAAGTAGTATGATGATGTAATTAGCAATCTATGCATGGAGCTTTCACATTTAGCTTCGTGTTTTGAAGTTGATTTGAATTGCAGTGAACTGTGCTTGAGCAGGCTGAATGAATTTGCATGTGTTAAAAAAGGAGCTGAAGAGGAAGAGCTGCACTTCAGATCAGTCTGTGCCAACATTTCGGAGGGAGATGAACTGGTAAAGGTGCCAACAGCACAAGAGTTGCTTACATAACCTCCTCGACGGAGATTAGCTTTGACAGGAGAGGCTACATTTAATGACATAAATTGCTCTTTGATGACTCAGTCGATGTTATATCGTGTGTGTCGAGGCCAACATCTGTTTTAGTAAAAAAAAAAAAAAAAAGGATGAAGTGGTTGCATTCCTGAGAAGAGCTATAAACACTCTGTGTCCAGCTCAGACTGGCAGCCTTAGTTTCCTTACTTTACCTGCCAAGCATCATTTGCTGTGATTAAAGAGACAGTAAAACAAGCTGGACCCTGAAGCCCATTCAGGTGAGCTGCCATCTTTGTAGTTTATCTTCTGTGAGTTATTCTCTGTGCATGAAACCAGTGTGCAGCTCACGGAATACAAAGAGCATCAATTCAAAGTGACTCAAGAGTTTCGTATCAGAAACTGTGACTTCACAGTCACAAGAAAGAAATAATGATGACGTATCTGATGAGTGTAATATTTGTTAAGTTCCTCTTGAACATGTGCAGAGAGGAACACCTGTACTGTTTGTGCACATGTAAGTTCAGCAGTCACACCAATGGCTCTGTTTGCTGTTCTCCACATATCTCCATATTTCTCCACCTATGGGACTGATCTGGTTGGCAGGCCATAGACTGAGGAAGTCCTCTGGATGGGGGACGAAACATTTCTCACTTAAAGAAACTGGTCCAGATGACATGATTTAACCTTTTTTGTTGTTATCTACCTGGATGATTGAGCTTACAGCCCTTTATCTCCACACATTTTATTTTTGCCTTCATATTTCAAAACATTCATCTCATTCTGCTGATCGTGATTTGACTTTTGGTTTTTATCATTTTTACTCTTATGAAAATATTTAACTTTGTTTACAAATTAAAAACACACTGAGATATGTTCAGTTCTTTTAGAATTGAGTTTCCTTTGAAATCTGCTTCAGCATACTTACTCTGTTTTTGTTTCCTTATGATTCTTTTAGCTTTAACTCACCTTTTGCTACTTTTGCTTAAAAATACTCTTCAGCTGCTTTTAGCTAACCATTTGCTGCTTATATTTTTAGCTATCATTTAGCAAATTTATCTTTAACCAGCCTTTTGAAATTTTTGTTAGCCTTTTGCTACCTTCAGCTAACACTTTTGCCACTTTCAGCTTTTAGCTACCCTTTTGCTACTTAACCTTTTTGCTAGCATTTTGCTACTGTTAATTTTTAGCTAACCTTTTGCTACTTTTTACTTCTAGCTACTGTTTTTCTACTTTTGTGCTCTTAGCTTTTAGTCAGTGTTTTTATACTATTAGCTATGATTATTCTACTGTTTGCGTTCAGCAAAATTTTTTCTTCTTTAGCTTTAGCTAGTGTTCTGTTTATTTGCGTATTTTAACTTTAACAACTCGGCTTCAGCTTCTTCAGCAATTTCCCAGCAGCCATTTAGCACTAAGCATTCAGTTTAGCCACAAAAAAAGCAGTTTTTCTAGTTTTTAATCAAACTTTTAAATTATTTTTATTTAAGGCTGGGGCAGCCAGAGTTCAAAGGTTCACATCCATCACAGCACCTGGCTTCACTTCCCTGGACACAACCTTCGCTGGCTGCTCACCTTCGTGCTGCTCTTCATCCTCGTCTGTGAGATCGCAGAGGGCATCGTCTCAGATGGGTAAGATTTTTTCCCATAATTCAACTCCGCTTCCTTGTTATGATTTCACTAATGGTTTTATGTGTTATCATCTTATGACACTGATGGTTTGAACATGTGACATAATAATAATAATTATTGTTTTCATTTTTAGAGAGTACCTTGTGTAATATTTTACAGTATAGACACAACACTAAAAAAATGTTGCACGTGTGATTAAAACATCTTTTTCTGGCTTTACGTTTGTCTAAAAGAAGTGGAGGGCTTTCAGTATTTTATTTACATGCCACATAATTGAATTTCTTCTGCCATTCTTTTTTATTACTGTGTGGCAGTAGTTCCTCGGAGTGGTTTTATTATCTAATCAAACACTCTTATCTACCTCTGATGGAAGCTTGATTCAATTAACTGCAATTGGCACTTCCTAAACCACTGTTCATCTGCATCAACCTTCTGATCAGATTTGCCCCACAGTGCTCTCCTGAGGGCAGACACAATCTACAGGCGACCATATTTAGATGATTAGGCAGAGCTGGAGAGGAACCTGTTAATTTCTTCACTGTCTGCGACCACATGTTAAAAAAACTGCACCAAGTCTTACTAAGGTTAAAATATGAGTGGCCGAGACCCAATCGTGGTTTGGTTTACTGAGGTGACAAATCAAGTGATGTGTAAATGTATTTTATTTTAAATTAATTTAGCCTCACATGTTTCTAGAATATAACATGTTTCTGCCTCTCAGCTGAATTGGGACTTGGTTAAGTTTCTTGTTGTATGTTTATTTAACCTAATTTATTTTTTGCTGACGACTAAAATGTACATTTGGTTCTATTCTAAAAACAAGTGAGACGTCTCAGCATGTTTCTCTATTCAGTCAAAAACTTGGTTGGTAAAAATGTTATAGATATATACAGGGGAAAAACTCAATAACCAAAGAAAACGCTTATAAGCACATTGAAAGATACAGAATCATGAAATGATGTTAAGAGTTTTGCTTTTATTTCTGCTGATAATTTAGTCAAAGTCTCCTTATTTATTCTGGGAAGTCTTTATTTGGATCATTGTGCACTCAGTTCTGTCTGACGGCTGTAAAAGAGTAAAATGTGCTAATGTATAATAGTATGGTAATATTATTATTATTATTATTATTATTGTTAATAATAATAATAATAATAATATAATAATATTAATAATAATCAAGTATTGGAATAGGGCAGGTTGTTTGGTTTCTGAGGTTTCCATTTTTTTGTCTTCTTGCTGTTCCAGACACATCCCACATCTGACACCATCTATCATATCTAATTTATTGACCAACAGTTTTTAAAATAAAAAAGTCAAACTAGTTTAGGTTTTGATCACTGATGCCTGTTGTGCCTCTGTTTCATCCCCGACAAACCATAGACAGTCAGTTTTTGTGCCTTGAAAATAGGCAGTGAAAATAATTCAGTGAGCTGCAGAGGGTTTACCTGGCACTAAAATATACACTTTAAGATGAAAAAACTTATTGAACGATCATAAAAATGTCAAAAATAAAAAGTCCACAGTTTTATAGGTTTATTTAGCATGAAGCAATTATGATATTGTAGTTTGTGCTGTAATTAAATACGTGCAAGCTCAATCAACATACTCTTTACATTTTCTTCACTATAGTTTTCTTGAATTACCATCATATATGTCTGACATTTGAGTGACAGAAGAAGAAATGTTGTTTGAACAAAAACCAGTCAGTCTGAACTGTCATCCATGTCATGAATGAGGGGCCATCCTGTAGTTGCACGTGTCTGTGTGTGCGCTCATTTACCTACCTGTTAGCAAAATATCTCATGAACAGATTTTAGTGAAACACCCAGAAAGTGTTCCTCGGATCAACATCTACAACTCTTCAACTTTCAGAGTCAACCTGAATCAGGATGGCTGCCACAGCTGATTGACCTTAATCAACACAAACATTTTATAACTCAGACCATTTTGCAGATAATGAGCAAAAATTTGGTGTGGTGGTAGTTGAGAGTCACCCCTAACACATACTTTGAGTCCTAATAGAAAATATGGGATTTTTGTTCAAATCTTTGTGCTAAAAATGGTGGGAAATATGCATTACCTACTTTTATTCTGAAAGAAGTAGATTTATTTGAGTGTAAGGTGGAGTTTAAATAGAAGCCCCCAAGAATAAACATTTGAACAGATTTCATATGCTAATCAAACATGAAGTTCAAATGCACCCAAGATTTTATTATGGACCTAGATTTTCTTTGGAATTCGTCCATTTTACTTTCTCCTCTGGGCTTACTTTTTTTTCTCATTGTGTTCTGGAGAGTTGAGTGTTTTTGTTATTTCTGTTTCTCGGTGTTTTTCACAGAAATGAGGAGGTTGAGACACTCAGCTGGTCAGAAGGGCCCTCTGTCTCTCTTCAGTGGGCTTTTTTTTTTTACTGACCACACCGCTGTTCTGAAGAGCCCAGCGTGGTCTTGTCTGTCATTGTGTGATGCTTTCTGGATGTGATGTTTTTTAAGGTTTGATCATCTCCACAGCCCCATCGTCCAGGCTCTGACTCCTGGCTAAATAAAAGAGTCCATGCTGCTTCCCCGCTATCAGACTGAACTTTACTGCAAATTGTTTGATCTCTCTTTAATGTTTCTTTCTCTATCTGATGTTCATTTTCAGGTTTACACAATCCCTCCATCTTCATCTGTACATGCCTGCAGCTCTGGCTTTCATGGCTGGCATCACCTCTATCGTCTACTATCATAACATCGAGACCTCCAACTTTCCCAAACTGTTGTTAGGTACAGTACTCTGAAAACCTTCTTATTCATTTGTCTTCTCTGAATATTAGTATGAACATGAAGTCTTTCATAACAGTTGCTTTTGGTACAATAGACATTTGTTCATTTTCAACTAGAGAAGTTGCATTTCCTGCAAAAATGCAGTTTGAATGCTTATTGCAGAAGAACTTGCTGAAAAACAGCTGAAATTAGCTAAAACCATGCTGAAATATAGCTGAAATTCAAGAACAAGCCTTAATTTGCAGAAAACAGAAAGAACGCATATTTGCCAAATTAGGTTTAAATTAGCATAACTTAGCACAGAAATTAGCTTAAAAAAATAGCTGAAAAGTAGCTGAAAAGGCAGAATGAAGCCTAAACTATCAGAAGGAAGTGAAAAGAGCTGAAATTAGTTAAATGGAATTAGCTGAAAAGGCTAAAATTAGCATAAAACAACTAAATAGTAGCTGAAACTAGCAAAAAAAAGCTGAAAGGAGTATAACAAGCTGAAAATACCATAAAGAAGTTAATTTGGCTGAAAGTAGCAACAATTACCATGAAAATCTTGAATTTATATGAAAGCAGCTGGAATTAGCTAAATATGCTATAGCTGAAAAGGTAGAACAAGCTTAAATTAGCAGAAGAAAGTAGAACACACATTTGCTGAATGAGACATAAATGAGCACAAAAAAGTCAAAATTATCTGAACAAAGCTGACATTAGCAAAAACAGCTGAGAAGTAGCTAAAAAGGCAGAAAGAAGCTTAAATTACCAGAAGGGAGCAGAGAGAGCACATTTTCACTAATTTTGGCTGAAAAAAGTTTAAATGAGTGCAAAAAATGTAGAATTAGCTGAAAAAGCTTAATTAGTATGAAAACAGCTAAATAGTATCTGAAATAGCAGAAAGAGCCGCACCTTGCAGAAATAAGCTGAAAGGAGCAGAACAAGCTAAAATTAGCTGAAATAAGTTAGAAGAAGCACAAAATGTTCTAGTTAGCAGAAATAATTTGAAAGGAGCAATAAACCGCTGAAAAACCACTGAAGTTAGCTGAAAATAGCTGGAAAAAAGTTTAAATTTGCACAAAGAAGCTGAAAAAAGCTGAACCAGAACAAAATATGAAAGGAGCAGTAAAAGGTTGTAAACGGATCTAAAGATCTGAAGGATGTAACTAGTACAAAAATTGTGGAACAAGAAATATGCTGAAAAAAGTATGGAAGAAAAATGGCTCACAATAGTGTGAATGCTTCATAAACTTCACACAATTAAATGTCCCACTTTCTCAGGCTTTCAAAATAAAAGCCTGTTTCGATTAGGTGTTGCAAAACTATTTCACTGTTAGAGCCAAAGATTTATGCTACAAACCAGGAATTAAATTGTTTAATTTCATGTGTTAAAACAACTAAATGGCAAAACATATCAATGAACAGCACAGCACAGGAAAAGTTATGACCTTCAGGGATGATCGTCAGCTCAGCGTAATGTGAGAGGATGATCAACGTCATGATTTTGCTTTTTGGAAATGTTTGTAATGATTATGAAGTTGGATGATTAGAGTACACACCACAGTGCTCTTATTATTGGGACTTTTTGTTTTGAATAAGCAGTCTCAGTCTTCTGCCTGTTAATGATTTCATCAGATAAATATTACCCTTCGCTCACCATCATAATGGGCTCATCTCATGTAAAAATTGCCCTGCTGGTGCCCCCCAACTGCTGATGCACTTAGTTTTTTAACTTCCTATGCTTCATTAACTTGTCTGCATGCAGCCTTTGATTTTTTTACTTCCATTAGGTCACCGAACCGCCTTTGGCTTTTAGGTTTTCATATCACAGCCAGCCAGATATTCATCTTCTAAACAGAGGCTCTGGCACTGACCCTCACGCTGATAAAGTCATGCCAAGGAAGCTCTGCATTACAAACCAGTAAACACTACACAAGTCTTCTGCAGAGCCAAATCTGTTCGCTGATGGGGTTTTTTTCATGTTGCCTACAAGTCCAGCTCCTCTTTTATCCTTGTTTTCATGACCAGACCCCCAGTGTTTATAGTAAACCACTCAGATGAACATTAAGTGATTCCACTGAAGGGTTTCATGAAATGAAAGTGGCAGATCTTACTGCAATTTGCTGGATTCAAACTGTTGACCTTGATATCTGATAGGCACATTTTGCTTTTTTATTTTTGTCAACATTGTTAAGGAGGAGTAAAAGGAGAAAAGAAGTAGTGAAGCATCTCTAAGCTGTGGTTTTGAAGCGTCTCATTGTAGCTGAAAAACTGGAGCACTGAATTAAATGGTTCATGCACAGCAAAGAAAATCCCCTAGAAAGAAAATGTTCCACCTCTTGAGCTGTGGTTTGTCAGTAAAACATCTACAAAACTGGAATTTAATTTAAACCCCAAGCTTTCAGTCAAGTTTTCTGTTTTTTCCCTTGTTTATCTTTTTGTCTTTCCCTCAGCCCTGCTCATCTACTGGGTGCTCGCCTTCACCACGAAGACCATCAAGTTTGCCAAGTACACAGAGCATGGCATCGGCCCCGGGCAGCTTCGCTTCTGCATCACAGGACTGCTGGTGCTGCTGTACGGACTCCTACTAGCCGTGGAGATCAATGTCATCCTGGGCAGGGTGAGTCCACGAGTCTTCCTTCAGTCACAAACGGGCTTTGATGAGCGATGCAGCCCACAGCGAGCTGAAAATAATTTGTTGCTCATACTTTACTGAACTGGATGCACTGGTGGATGTGACTGAGGAGAGTCATGGTTCCAGCTATGCTTTAAGTGCAAAACGACTGATTTTAAACCAGCAGAAACAGGAAAATCAAGCGTCTGCATGTAGGTTAGCTACTGTTCAGACTGTGGAGAGATGAGGCTGCTTTAGCTAAAAGCTAAAATGCTCAAGATGTCAAACTCAAACATTTGCAGAGTGATACATTTATTCTCACAATGCTTATATCAGCGCTTTTATGGTTGCCAGATCTGTTAGTTTTTTTTTTTTTTTTTCAAAATTGTGATAATTCTTCTTCAAGGGCGCAAATGACAAAAACATGATCATAAACAACAAAAAACACATTTGAAATCTAATATCTTACTTTAAGGTTTAGTTTGAATAATTTACTCCTTATTATTATTTAATTATTTACTTGTGTCCTAAATCACGTCAGCCATATGTTTCATCACACTTTCTTATCCACCATATAAAGTCCTTCAAACTCATCATGGGCTACAACAAAAGTTCTGGTGTTGTACATTACATCTGTTTGTAGCAGACCATAATGCATTGCGGCCAGGTTCGACGCAGTGACTCATCAAGGCTGATGCTAACGTCCATCCTCATTGCTGTGATTTTTCTGACTCCATGAAAATGGTTTAAATTATCTGAATGTTTCTGATGTACGGAGCTCTGTCTGTGCTGCAGAGCTTGAAAAGTTGGTCGAAAAATGTGATCTGACACAGGTTTTACTCTGATTATGTAACATTTTAAAGAATGTTGCAGACCGCAGCGTAAAACAAGCTTCATCTCTATATAACACAATACTGTTTGTTTTGATTGTTTGCACACAAACTACAGCTCTAAAAACATTTGTTCTGTTTAGAAATGTTTTATATTTTCATAGACTGAAGGTTGTGATATTTTGTTACAGCAGCAGGTCATGGTTGTGTAAATAGATATAATACAACAAAAGTCTTACAGATGATGTCATGTGAGTCAAATGTCAAAGATATGAAGGCAGATGATCATAATTACATATTCTCAGCCAAAAACAGCAAACCTTTGGTGTCCATCCTCTACAATTTAATGTGTATTCTGGTGCAACGTTGGTATTTGTCTATGCAGCACCTGACAGTGACCCTGCACATAGACTGAAGGACCTCTGTGGTCCAGACTCCACTAAACTCGTTATAATGACCATGATTGAACAAAGTGAACATTTTGATCCCAGTCCAGATTCACAGTGTCACCCTTCACACACAGATTCTGGTGTTTCATTATTTCACAACTATTTATTCTTAGACAGAGACCGCTGCTAAACTACTTTAGTCTTTGTCAGTTCTACAGAATACATTTGTAATTTATTTAAATACTCGATATTCAAAGATCGACTGTGTATAAAAAATAAACATAAAACCAGATTCCATATAAATCCAGTTCCATGTTGTCTAATCTAAAGTTGAAAAGCAGAATTTACTGTTTAATTTCTGTACTATGTCTTAAAAACTACTTGGATACTTTCATTTATTGGTATTTGATCATAAAACAAAGTTCTGTGCAGATAAAAATACAACCTGATTTCAATCAAAACATTATGACCTCTGGGACAGATGCCCTCATTCATCCATCCATCCATCCATGCATCCATCCATCCATCCATCCATCCATCCATCCATCCATCCATCCATCCATCCATCCATCCATGCATCCATGCATGCATCCATGCATGCATCCATGCATGCATCCATGCATGGATCCATGCATGGATCCATGCATACATCCATGCATACATCCATGCATACATCCATGCATACATCCATGCATACATCCATCCATGATCTTTATACACTTCTTCCTTTTCGGGTCACGGGGGTCACTGGTGTCCATGTCCAGCAGTCACTGTGTGAGAGGCGGGGGACACCCTGGACAGGTCTCTAGTCCATCACAGGGACACATAGAGACAAACAAGACAAACAGCAATTCACTCTCTCACACCTAGGGACAATTTAAAGTTACCAGTCAGTCTAACATGCATGTTTTTGGTCTGTGGGAGGAAACCGTAGTATCTGGAGAAAACCCACACATGCACGGAGAGAACATGCAAACTAGAGATGCACTGATTCAATGCCAATATCGGCATCGGTCCCAATATTGAAAAAAACTTCTGGATCGGGTCTTGGTGACAATGTGACCGATGACTGGGCAGATCTATTCACTCTAATTCTATGCTTTGTGCTCTGAGTGATGTCATGCGCTAGCAAAATCACTGCACAGACTGTTTTCAAAATGGAGCAAGCGAAAGGATCTGGAATTATTTCACACTACCTTAGCCAACACATTCGACAGCTACGTGCAATACGTGCACAGCGGAGGTTCCAAGGGGTGTCACTAAACCTTCCAGTTATAACACTACCAGCTTAATGAAGCATCTCCAGAGATTTCACCCTCAAGAGCACGCTGAGTTTGTTGAATGGAATTCAGCGCAGTTTTTCTGTATCGGATCGGTATCTGCCGATTTGAAACAGCAAATATCGGTATCGGAAATGGAAAAAGTGGATCGGTGCATCCCTAATGCAAACTCCACCCAGAATGCCCCCCCCCCCCGGCTGGGATTCAATCCGACAACCTGTTTGCTGAGAGGCGGCAGCTCTACCAACTGCGCCACCGTGCCGCCCAGATGTCCTCATAAAACTGTTAAATATCTCAAGAAAAATGTCTAAAAATGGGAAGAAATTTAATTAAAAAAAAGAAGAAGAGTCAAAAGGGTTGAACGCTCAGCTAAAAGTTAAACACATGAAAACAAAGATCACAACCTCTGAGCTTTATTTACCACAACAAGAGCCCCCTCTGACATCTGGCTCAGTTCAAAGACAGACAGAAATGAGGCCGAAATGTTTTTCAAGAGCGCTTCAAACCGTGTTTTTGCTCCTGTTTTATTGATCGCACAACAAAGCCGTCAAACTTTAATCCTCGGATTATTCATTTTGTGACATTTGCAGCCGTTGGACCCATCCTGAACATAAAAGAGAAAATGCCAGAGGAGTGTACGCTCTTTCCTCTGAACACTCCAGACTGTGTTTATCTCTGTTAACCTCTGAACAGAGCACACATCTGTTACTACGCCGGGCTCCCCTGGGAAAATTTCCCATCATGCCCTGCGCTCGGCCTGTTGCAGCTGCTTTTTTTTTAATCAGCCTCCTCGTGAGGATTTTAATATTCCTGCGTTTAGGTGATCAGTAATTGACGTGCAATTATCCAAATGAAACATTAACTCAGGAGGTTAAATGCTTGTATCACAGAGTTGATATTCTATTTATTAGGCCGCATCTCTTGACATAATAAAAAATAATTTTTTACATTCTGATTCAAATCCATGAAACTATTAATATCTGTTCATGTCCTGACCTCTTTTGAAACAAAATAATTAAAAAGAAAACATAACAAATGTTGCTTTTATCACCTGCTCATAAATATAGTATTTTGTCTGTAACTTCTGAAGAAGCACTTTATCTATTCTCGTCTGTTTTTCTATTATTTATTTGAGCTCTGATTTGATATTAAAGCTTCAGTGTTTTGTTAAAACTGGTGTTACGTTTTGCCAAGTGGCCAGTTATAAAAGCCATCTTTGTTTTCAGTACAAATGTTCTTCAGCAGCTTTATTTATTACTCTAACAGCGTGTTTAACTCATGTATCCATTATGTTTTAGTTTTCTTTGGCAGGATATGTAAAGTCATGATTATTTCCCTCTAACCAGAGGGTGACCACATTCTTCATTTTTGGTTTTCAGTTCCCTACGGAGTCAAAAAGTAACCAAGCCTCTTTTCCTCTTTGCAGCGCTACATGTGTTTCGCCAATCCGACAGAAGTGAAGCCCCCCGAAGACCTCCAGGACCTCGGCGTTCGTTTCCTGCAGCCCTTCGTCAACTTGTTGTCCAAAGCCACCTACTGGTGGATGAACACCTTCATCACCTCGGCGCACCGGCGGCCCATCGACCTGAAGGTCATCGGCAAGCTGCCCATCGCCATGAGAGCGCTCACCAACTACATCAAGCTCCGCCAGGAGTTTGAGGAGCAGAAGGTGAGTTCTGAGCATTTGTGTAATTTGAAATTAATCCGCAGCTCGCATAGCTATGAGTGAAGTTTCCAAAAGATTTCTGTTTCATCTCAGATCAGTCGGAAGGAGCTTCTGGTGTGGCTGAATCTAAATTAGCGATTGTTCATGAGAAATTACCGTAATTTCCGGACTATTGAGCACACTCCAATATAAGCCACTCCCACTAAATAAAAAATAATAATAATTTTGTACGTATAGAGGCCACGCTTGTCAATAAGCTGCGGGTGTCCACGTTGTAACATGAGATATTCACAAAGAAATACTTTTTAAACTTTTAATATAAGTACTGGTAACATGCACAAATACATACAGTAAATGTTTTTTTCTGAACAGTGCCTGTAACATGGCTGGTTAAAAACTGGTAGATTTCCATCCATTTTTACAAATATTGAACTAAAACTTGGTGTGGTAGTAGCTGAGACTTATTTACAAAATGAAAGTGCAATCCATTGAACAATATCTTTCTACGAAAGCTCAGCATTAACTGTTAGAATCAGTCCTGCTTGTCTGTTAGCAAAATATCTCATGAACAAATGATGATATTTCATGAAACTTTCAGACATTAATCACTGGATGGACATCCACATCTGATTATTATTTTTTGAGTCAATCCTGTTTAAGTTGGCCACCAAGCTAATAAACAATAACACAAAAATGTCTATATCAGAGTGAATTTAACAGCTACTGAGCTAAATTAGGATGTGGTAGTAGCTGAGGGTCATCTGTAACACACTGACATTTTTATCAATACATGGGATCGCGCATAACGTTTTTAACGTTAGACCTAAAACTCTGTTATTTCTTTTTTTGAATGTCTAAAACTCTGAAGCCAGTGGGCGATATGCATTTCTTTTATTTTTTAAAACTTTTCAGTTTGATACTAGTATCTCTGTGATCATAAATCCCATCTCTCTTTGATCAAACATACATAAGTAGATGAATACACAGATTAAAACTAATCTTTGTTTAAGTTAAACTTTTATTATTGATAGTTATAATTGGATTTTCTGCTTAAGGCAAACATTTGAAGTTTTTATGTGCTTCATGTGCAGTTTGTTTGTCTTCCGTTGGCTTCTATCAAACATTTTTTCCATCCATTTCTATTTTTAATCTTTTTTCTTCTATAATCATCATGACATCCTCTTGAAGAGACACATGAATCATACAAAAGGTTATTTTCTTTGTCCTGCTGTTCTCATATTAAAGCAGTTTATGGGATGATTCAGTCCAGCTTGAAGTGGGACAATTAAATTTAATTTCAACATCACATCAGATGTCGTCCACCAATATAAACAGGAAAATGTCAGATTGCCTCGAGCAGACATTTATAGGCTTTTTCATTTGGATTCATTTAAAGATTTTTTGTGTGCTTATGTTCTAGTTATGTGCTTTTTTTCCTACTGTTATACTTGGTGCTGTTAAAGAAACATATTTTATTCAGGGAAGAATGTTTAAGTTGTATTTTTAGCCCCTATAAGACAACCGTAGTGTTCTCCTCTGTGTTCATGAGGTAAAGGAGCCACATTGACTCGGCAGCTCCAGAATAATTCCTCACGAACGGGTTTTCATGTTGGTTTTTAATTCTTGACTTTTTGAGGTTTTCTTTGTCAAACAAATAATGTTTTGAATAAGAGAAACGAGTTTTCAGTCTCAGAAAAGTGCAAGAAAAAAAAACCCCCAGCTAAATCGCCATGGTAACTCACATTTAACTCTCCGTGGCTCTGCTTAAAGAAGCATTTGAACAATTCATTAATGTGTCACAGGAAGAAATGTGTCACGTTTACACCTGTACTCATCTTGTTTCTTTGGAAACAACAATAAAGTACTTAACTTCGCAGAAAACATCTGGATATGTTAGTATTTTTAGTTGCTAAAGGTATTTAACAACTCTGGTACCTCAGCTAATGTCACAGTCTGTTTTACTTTTATTTGATTAAAGTTTATCTTTTAGTTATTCTCTGGTGGTTTATGTTTAATTTTTATCCTTTCTTCTGTGTTTTCATGATCAGTTTAAATCTTTATTATTTTGGAATTATGTTCTTATTGTTACATTTTGTTTTGGTCTTCTGGTTTAGGTCTTGTTCAGTTTCTTGTGTCATTTACCTTCAGCCGGCTGCCTCAGTCTGCCTCCCTCACCTGTTCCCACTCTGTAATCACCCCAGGTGTTTGTTGTTTAGCGTTCATTAGGGCCTCTTTATATTCTTGATCCTTGCTTTGCTTTTTACTTCAGTATCAGGGAAGTTTGAGATTGTCATCATTGTATGTTCCCATAAATTGCAAAATTAATTCTTTGCATTTAACCCATCACATGTGAGATAGACCCAGGTGGAGCAGTGGGCAGCTTTGTGAGTGCCCGGGGAGCAATTAGGGATTAGGTGCCTTGCTCAAAGACACCAAGACACGTGGGAATGGCTGGGAATCGAACCATGACTTTCTGGTCCCAAGTTGGCTGCCCTACTTCTAACCCATCTCAGCCCACTAGTCTTTCATGCAGTCAGTGTTTCTTGTTTTTCTCCTCCTTTTGGTTGCATTGCCATAACATATTGTTTAATTTAAATTTTATTTTATTTTTTTTAAAGAAGAAGCTGTTTTTAGTTTTACCTTCAAGCTCCTTCTTTACAGTCAGCATCTGGGTCCAATCCGCCATTTCCACTGACAAACTGAGCTTATATACAATGACTTTCAAATGAAGGACATTATGTCAAATAATAAACATTAAAGGTTCAAGTTCTTTATTGTCATTCACATCACATGTGGTACATGAGGTGGAACAAAATTTTGTACTCAAGGTCCCAGTTACACCCAAAAATAGCAAAAACAAACAAACTATAAAACAGAAACAGTATATAACTATCTAATATATATGCTAAACAATAATGTAATATAATACGGTATATTAAACAGCAGCCTGAACACGAGTGTGTTGTGAGCAGATGGGTATGAATATAGCAGCTTAAAGGCAAGAAATCAGCAGCACAGATAAATTGTCAAATCTCCAATTAGAATCATTACAGTGATTTTTCTGGACTCCTGAGTCTAACAGCCTCAGGGTAGAAGCTGTTCCTCAGTTTAGTGGTTCTACACTTAACGCTCCTCAACCTTGGTGAAGTGAGGACTGAGCTTCCCAGTCCAGTTCACCTCAGCCGCCTGAGGAAGTAGTCTCTCTGATGAGCTTTCTTGATTAAACTGGTAGTGCTGTTGCCCCAGCTGAGGCTGTTATTCAGGTGCATTAAATTAAATATCTTAAATCTTGGTAAAATTATAACGACTTTACCGTGTTTTTGTAACACTGAGTTAAAATCTGTTTAATTGAAAAGCTTTGGTGCTCAATTATTGTGCATGTCAATATAAATGAACTGTGCTGACTGAAACTCATTGACCTTTTATATTTTAGGCCAAACACATTTTCTGGCAAATCTGTTGCTTTTATATTTTAATCACTTTTATGATGCAGAAAAGCACTTCCTGACTAAAATGGATGACATACAAACAACCTTGGTTTGAGTAAAAAAAAAAATTAGCAAAAATATTGATGTCTCCATTATGAGAATCATAAAAGGGAAAAAAACTGGGTTAATATATAATCAGAGATAATGATGCACATCATCTCCAAGGCTTAATAAAAGGAAAATATCATTACAAAGTTTACGTATTTCAAGACCTTGAATTTCTTTCAGTTTTGCCCTTGCAGGTCTAATTGGAGGATACTTCTTACAGATCATGCTTCTGCGTCTCCCTCCAGCCACATGTCAGGGGTCCGACGTAAAGGGGCCTCCTCTGCTGGGTCACTGTTTTCCAGAGTTTGGAAGGTCACCCAAGCTTCGTCACTGCTGCGTCTGTGTCCGGTGTGAACGCAACTCTGCTTCCTTCCGGCAGAAGTGAGGGATGAGAGAGATGTAGAGATCCCAGTAGAGTGGTGGGGAAGGGCGGTGGCGGTGGGGGGCGCCTAGAGGGGGGTCTAGAAGAGCTGGGTCAGTCCTGTTTTACTGTGAACGAGGCGACATCCCGACCCCAGAGGGGCTGAACACGCTGCACTTCATGGGAAGCTAGTTCCACTCCGTGTGAGAAGGAGGCCGCCTCCCTCCCTGGTCGTTTGAACCTGGGATCGATGAGAGGAAGCGCTTCTGTGTGCGTAGGAGTGATGCACGCAGCGACACACGTTACGTACAAAAGCTGGGGTTCAATACGAGTTCCAGTGAAAAGATGCAAACACATGGGAGCAGTCACGTCTGCTCTCGCAGATCTGAGAGTGACTCACGTTCTCAGAAATACACACGCAGAATCTGAACGGTTTACAGCAAACGTCCAGATGTTTCCCTCTGATCAGTGAGACACTGAACCAAATCAGTGCTCGTACGAAATGTCAACCTCAAACATGTTTCGCACTTCCTGAACAATTCTGTTTGTTAAACGAATCAGAACTCATTTTGCCAGTCGTGTTGTCCTGCGCATCATGGAAGTAACCACCACATCCATACACACACACACACACGCGCACACACACACACACACACACACACACACACACACACACACACACACTGAATGTATGTATCTGATGCAGCTCCTCTGTGAAACACCATTAATTACCACATTCTCCGATGCAGAGGCAGCAGTACTGAGAGGGATGGAGCCACAAACTTGACCCCAATTTATGGTTTCTGCAAGAGTTTAGATTCAGCACTTCACTTAATGGTGCCTTTGTGTTCAAGCGACTATTTATTTTAGCGATGTTGGCACTCTTTTACTCTCTAACCCTCTTTATTTTTCCTTTTGTTTTGCTGCCAGATAAACTCCCAAGAGACAAAGTAGAATCTCCGTTCAAACCAAACCATCTAATTTAGCCCTTCTTCATCGATAGCCATTGTCTTGACCCTAACGAAGCACTAGAAAATGACAGATAAGGATTAATGTGTGTAACTTACATTTAAAAATCAAAATAATTTAGAGATGCTCTAAAACTTTAATAGTTACTGTTTTGAGCTGCACGCAGCAAAAGGTATTTAATTGAACGTTTTAATGATTTACCTCAGCATGTTGATATTTTTCATCTGAATCCCTGTTATTATTTTTAACTCCCGTTTAGAAACCACAGGGCACTGCACCACAAGGGCCAAAATGGATCTGGCAGGCTTTAAGGAAAGCTTTCGGCAGGCCTCTCATCCTCAGCATCACGTTCCGCTTCATGGCCGACCTGCTGGGCTTTGCTGGACCTCTCTGCATCTCTGGCATCGTTCACCACATCAGCAAAGACAATCGCACCATTCAGCAACCGGTGAGACGACTCCCACACTACACTGCTTCTTTTTTTAATGTCACAGACCAGGGGCGATCCTAGAATCTGACCTTTCAGGGGGCTTAGCCCCAATGCTGAGAATGGCTCTCGGCTTGAACAACATGGTGGCCACTGGCATCAGAAGCATTCATAATGTGGGGGGGACACATTGATGGGGGGGTCTGAGGGTCCTCCCCCAGAAAATTTTGAAAAAAAGTAGATGCCATTTCCTGCATTCTGGTGTATTTTAACGGGTTGTTAAACATCCGCATTTACCTACATAAGCAAACACTTGATTTAATAACTATTTTAGAGAGCATGGCACAACGAGAAGTAGCGCTAAGCTAGCAGCGTGCAATGCAGGCATGCTAGCTAAGATGCTACAGATGTAGAGCTCTGCTTTACATTGCACAACTTAATAAACACTTTGTAAAAAATCAGTTTAGTGTTAACTGATCATAACAAACAAAGACTAAATTTATGCAACCAGAAGTTGCAACATACACCTACATATAAAACACACAAAACAAAGCACAACTAGCTTTAAGCATTAACCTTAAATTTAACCATAAAGCATATGATGTAATTATGAAGAAAATGGAGGATTTACTTTCATTTACCTTCGTACAAATGAACATGTGGTACTTCCTGTTTATAACTGTTGTATTCAACTGCTCATGAAGTCGATCGCAGGGCTTTATCATTTTTTATATTTTTCCAGACTCAGTTTATGTTTTGGAAATGGAATAAACCGTATTCTACCCTCTACAGCAGGACTATTCCACTAAACTGCTCAGGGGGCCACAGTTCCTGAAGCCAGCAGCTCAGGGGCCGGACATCCAGCAATTAAAGTCTTTATGTAAATAAATTAAGTATTAAAATGATCTGTTACCTTTTTAATTTGTTTATATTGTTGCATTGAATCATAAATGCAATAAACAGGACCCAATACCCAAACCCAGACAACCCCCCCCCAAAAAAAAAATACACACATATATATATATATATATATATATATATATATATATAT